TGTGCCTGCTGACTAATAAGAATAATTGGCTCCCATTTTCATTTTAAGTGTGTTTTGTAGGCAGTTATAAAAAAATATCCTTTCCTGCAGTAATTCTCTGGGCAGAACTCACTTTCTCTTGAATCTCCCTGCCTCCCAGGTTTTTATCTGCTAATTTTTTCCTAGGTAATCTGTCTTATTTGAAATGATTCCTACAGCTCAGTGTAGTGCTGACCAGAGTTTCAGTTGTGAATTTGGCAGAACAGTTACTTCTGTTTATTTTGTATATTATGTTCTTGTTAACCTGATTCACAATGGCAAGTGCAAGTTTTCTTTTTGTGCCAGCATTTCATTTATTTGTTCAGGGTTAGACTGATGTTACAACCAAGTCTGGAATGAGGACTGTCTGGTTCTGTGCTCTCAGAATTATCTTGAGAGTAAGATCCCTGTCCTGGCAGCAGCCTGCCTGTGTTTTACACTATCTGCAAGAGATTGAAAGTCAAGACTCTTTCTTTTTGCTTGCTTATGAGAATCAGGAGCCCTCTCTTAATGCAAGTGGGAGCTGAGGAGTACTAGTGCAGAGGAATAAAAGGGTGTGTGACGTTTGCCTTTCCCTTTTTTGCTCAGAACAGGCAGGCTGCTGTGCATCTTTCTGGCCTGTGTTGGGAGCTGTTAATTTTTCTGTGATGTAATGTGTTATATTTTAATTATATTCCTGGCCACTTCTACTTTTTAATGATTAAAATACAAAACATACAAGTGGCATTTAATCCATTCTAGGTTTGTACCACATAAATATTAATACTATATTTTCGATCCAGTGTTTTTAGCTTAATGAAAATACTTTATAATAAGTAACATGGGTACCTATTAATTATCACCTTCTCCACAGCCTCTGAAAGATTAAAACTTGATTTGGTTTATTAACCAACTGTTGATGCAGTTGTCTAAAGGCATAGTCACATACAATAATTTAGGCCTGATATAAAACAAATCAATGAGAATTCTTTGCAAGAAGTCATCTTGAAGCTATCGCTTTGCATGTTTCTAGTAACGTTTTCTTATTTACACCTTCCCACAGTGCTGTTTGTGTATTCTTTCTGCACAGCCATTATTAATCTCTTGTCTGTTCCCAGAGCTTTTCCTTCCTGCCTGATCCTTTCTTCTTAAATGTTTCTAGTCATGCCCTATGCTTTTTTTTTGTGCCAGCAGGCTGAAAAGTACTTAAGATCCTTAAGTTTTAGAGGAGAGAAATGCCAAAACATGTTGCATCAGATCTTGACATTCATGCTTAACAAGGTGCTGGTTGGAGCTGATGCGACTCACTGACCCAGTGTTGCAATCTTAAACAATTGAGAGTCTGGGGTTATGGCTGTGCTCTGTAAAGTAACAGTAAAACCAAGTAACTCTGTTGCTTTGAGTTGCATTTCATGCATTCTCAAACCACAAATGATTTTTTTTCCTGGCTGCCAGTTCAACTGCAAACTGGCAACATCTATTCAAATTGCCAATTAAAGACAAACCTGAGTCAAAACTCAAATGTTGGCTTGTTAAATGCAAACCCATGTTCAGGCGAGGTCTCTGGCTAGCAAAGTCGGCTTTGCTTCCCTGTGTGTGACAGTGACTGTTCTTTCACCATGTTACCCCTGCCATGAGGCCTTGTGATAACGTTATTTGCCCAGTGCTAAGCAAACGAGTTGTTTCTGGGCTCCTTTCTTGAAGGAACCAAAGTCGTGTGAAGCAGTGTTGTGGCATTTGTAGGTTGCCTGAACTTTAGCTGCCCTAGGAGCAGTGTGGATGTAGTGTGCCCAGGCAAGCTCCATAGGAACATATATGGTAGAGGCATGTAACTTTGTGAATTTTTGGTGCAAATAGGAATTTTCTGGAGCAGACATGAAGGGTAAATTGAGAGGATACAGGAGATACTGTTCCTCCAACTATTGCCTGAGTTTGCTTTGATGGAGGAGATTACATTCTATACACCTACTGCATTAGTGGTGTCCAGATATAAGGTTGTAAAAGAGCCATAAATAAACCATGGCTTCATAAGCTTTTATGGCATCTTTTAATTTTTCAAGCAATTTGTGTAAATCAGTACCCTAATTCCTATAGGATAGATAGGAGAATAAAGGACTTTGTTTTGCTTATCCACTGTAGAAGTGACTTGTGATGAGCAGTTCAGGATTAGAATAGAGATTGACAACTACTTGTGGAGTCTAGGTGGGTTTATATTCATTAAGAAAGAAATGAGCAATGGAGGACAACAAAGACTAGGACCTTAGAAATTGATTGATTAAGTGTTGGTTAAATTTGACAACATGTGAAACAGTGTATGGTCATGATTATGTGGTCAGTTTAATCCAAAGCAAATCAGCTGTGCTGCTGAAGGTGGTAACTGTTGTAGTATCTTCTTTCTGCACCTCTCTTTTCCTGGTTCTAGTGTTTGTATCACTGCAGTCTGCCATGCCAAGGGGCTGATAAAGCTTAAATCTATAGGGAGATGCTAGTTTTCAGTCAGGTGAACTGATCTGGTTCGTTTCACGAGCATGTTAATATGAGCATTAAAACATGCAGTGAGTAAAGGCCAAATTTACACTTGTAAACCTTTCTGAAGTGAGAAGGCAATAACACTGTGTGGGTGAAAGGACTTGAGAAATGTCAATATGTTTGTCTGACTACTGAGGTTTAAAAATGCTTGGGAGGTAAAAACAGCAGAAGTTTAACTTATTATACTCATGCAACTTTTAAGAAATAAGCTTATTTTTTGGAACTTTTCATGTAAGAAAAGGCTGGTTCTCAATAAAGGGAAAGAAATGCAGCATGCAGGTGAAGATGAATGTCTTACTTGTCTCCTTGTGTTCAGAAACATGGAGACTAAGCAATATATGCCACAAGGGGTTGTGAAAAGTATACATTGAAGTATTTCCTTATACTTGCTTGTAAATACTTAAGTGTTAATACCAAACAGAGTATGTCTAAACAGTTTGTAGTTTTACTCTGCTATGTTTTGTGGCTTGATAGCCAGACAGTACATCTCAGACATCTTAGTACTTTGAAGCTAATACTTCTAATCTTTACGTAAAAGTTTACTAAGGAAAGCAAACATTCAATCTTTATTTGAGGGATTTAAGCTTACTTGTGAATGAAGTAAAACAACTAATTAATTCACTGCGTAAACCCCTGGCTGTAGTCACCTTGATGTTTTGTGTCATTTTGTGGTGCCAACAGACTTGTTGATCAGTAATTTAAAAAAAATTACTGTGGCAATAATTTTTAAAATAAATCTTATGCCTTAGATCACCTTTTTCAAGATAGGTGCTTAAAGAAAGAATTTTTATTTTTTTTCTGACCATAGAAACTTTGGGTAGATGGAAAACCTTGTTGCTTGTGACATATTAGAGGACTGGGTATACTTAGTTTTTGTCAAATAATACAGAAACTTACTATTTTGGCCTAAGCTTAAGTACAATTTTGAGGACTTAGTTTGTGTTTGTATGATGCAGATATAGTCTGTCTGTTATGTTATTCTGTAGCCCAGAAAGGGGCATATGTTCATTTAGATGCCTTTTCTAAATAACTTATTGTATTCTAGTTGTATATTCTTATCACTAAATATAAGGTGTGGGTACCTGGGGAGTATAAGTGTAGATCAAAAGGAGACAGGAATGTAAGAATCTGGCCTGTTGGTTTTAGTAAAAATGTTTCGTGCTAAACCTCGCTTCAAGCTGCTAAAAGCTCAGAACAAATTTGGATTAGATTTACTGAAATCAATATTTAAAAAAAAATCTTGGTTTGTTCTTTACTTAGATCTAGAGTTAATGTACAACTGTAATGAAGCAGTCTCCCCCTTCCCTTCCCCAGTAGTAAAACATTGTGCATGTTTATGCTGATGTCTGTTTAAAATAAAAAAAATCCAGCTATAACCTGTTTCAAATTGGCTGATTTTCTTTTTCTTTTTTTGTTAGATGAAAGGGGCACTGACTGAAATTATCCAGCTCGCTACCTTGGATTCAGACCCCTGGGTCTTAATGGTAGCTGATATTTTAAAATCCTTTCCAGATACTGGCTCCCTTAACCTTGATCTTGAAGAACAGAATCCCAATGTTCAAGATATTTTAGGAGAGCTTAGAGAAAAAGGTAAGCCTTTTCTGGTGGTGAAAGCTACAGAAATATGATGCCTTTTTTCAGAAATAACCTGTCATTTCACAGGCAGTCTTGCCATCTTAACAGTATTGGTATCAGGACAAGCAGTGTGTCTTGTCTCTTTAACTGTCACAGTTCATGACCTGGCATGACTGGAAACTGTGATATTTGAGGAATGGTAACTTCTTAAATTATCTTCTCACACATCATCAGATCTTGCATGTCAGGTATTACCCTGAGTGTTGTGAAGGGCAACATGCAAGTTAGTGCAGATTCATTAGTAACATAGACAGGTTGGGTGTGCACTGATAGGTAGTAACTGACTGACTGCAGCTTAGTAAGTTGAGCTTTTCCATATATTGCCCTGTCTTGTACATTGTAGTACTAAAGACGACAGTAAGGCTTTGTCTCTGCAGTGCTTGTGTGGGCAGCCTCGTGTGTGTGGAAGCATCACTGCTGTATTGGGCAGGTGGGGTGCATCTCTGCTGGAAGAACAAATGATAGCTGCTGGCAGGGAGACTGATCATAAGAAGAGTTATATTGCCGATGTTCAACTAGCTATGGATTGCCTAGCAGCTGAAAATATTGACTTGAGCACTTGCACAGTTGCTGCTTCAAACACTGTAGTAAATGGTGATGAGAACCTACTCCTACTTCAGTGGGTTTGATTTAGCACATTGCCTGAAAAAAGCCCCCAGGCATCAACGGGTAGGCACGATCTTGGAGTTGGGATTACAGTAAACCAATAATGAAATGACTTGGAGGTGTAGGCATTTTGTTTTCTTACAAATGATCATTTGTCTGTTCGCACTTCTGGTTTGAACTTCTGTTTAGTACTTTCCTTTTTAAATGTAATATTTAAAGAATCTGAGAATTAAATCACTCTTTTACTCTCTGACAGTAGTAGCATATTTAAGACTCCTTTAATTTGACTAGGTGTAATTAACATGGAAACTCTTAGGAAGATAATGTAAAAAAAAATTCCTAATAACAGGTTATATACTGTGTAATAATTAGAACTAAATTATCCTTGGTGTTTAAACAAGTAGTCTAAAATTTTAAAACACCTGTACAATCTAGTTGTAAAATGTTTTGCAATTAGCTGTCAAAGAGGTGCTAATACCCATGTGCACTGTGTTAACTCTTTATGCAGTAAGTGAATGTGAAACTTCAGCTATGTTGCCGTTGGAATGCCAATACTTAAACAAAAATGCCTTGACAACACTAGCTGGGCCACTTACTCCCCCAGTGAAACACTTCCAGCTGAAAAGGAAACCTAAAAGTGCCACTCTCAGAGCTGAACTCTTACAGAAGTGTAAGTAGTATTACAACTAGTTGATAAGATTGAGTAAGAAATTTAATGGTGAAAGGAAAAATTCTGTTCAGTCTTATTCTCCAGTGTGGGTATGAGATATGCATTAAAATTTTCCAAAAGCTTTGCTTGCTGGTTTTGGGTGGTTGTTTTTTTTTTCTTTTCTTTGATAGACTGGTATGTGTGGAAGAGCAGGTGCAAGTCATTCTGGCCATCATTATGCTAAAATGATAATCTTGATTTAAATGCTGTTTAGATTTCAAGGCATAGAAAAAGCTCTAGCTTTTTAAAGCACAGATACATTCTCTCATGGGTATATGTAACACTCAGTTGTGAAGACTTATGAGGAGTAGTTTTGGTTAAAGCTCCTGAAACAAAACTGAAATGAGAACTTAGTTTTATTTTGCCATATGTTTTTTTTCAATGGGGAGCATGAGCTGCTAATTAATGCTTGCTTTTGCTCAGTATGGCCATATAGGGTGTGAAAGCCAAGAGGGTTTTCACTAACAAAAGGCAGCATATGTATACATATATGTGTTGGTTGCCGCTTGAACTAAGTGCTCTTAAAATAGTTTACTGTACCTGCTGTTCTATTGCAGCAGCTTGCTGCTTTCTTGCATGTAACTTGAGTAGTTGGTCTGATTAAAAAAGTTACAGATCTTGTATTTATGATATTATGTAGAACTTTCTTTAATTATTTGAATCTCTATTGAGTAAATAGTCTAAGCTAAAATAATCAGAGTAGACAATCTCGTCAGTTGCATAGTCATATTAGTTTTGCCTTTTTTCCAAATACTGTGTTTGCCTTGTATAAGTGACCTGTTTTTTAATTAAAACGTTATTCATTCTTTGTTGCTATTCCCATTTTTTATGTGTTTCCTAATAATATATAGGAAGTAATGTATTGTATTTTTTCAGCACAGATTCTGTAATAACTAAAGCTCTTTTTATTCTTAGCAACAGAAACTGCACAACAGCTCAAGAAGACTGCAGGAGTGCCTTTTCATGCCAAAGGCAGGGGACTGGTCAAAAAAATAGATACAACAAGTATGGCTCAATTTCATCACTTCTTGGAAAGAAAGTCTGATAAAATAGCCTTGGTGAAGAATAAAGCTACAATCTAGTTTTTACAAGAACTTAATTCTTTTTGAAGCAGAGTATTTCTCACTTTCTGCTTCCCTCTCTCCTGCTGTATAAATGTTTCTGACATCTCTTGTCAGAAAGAACAAGAGTGTGGGGGTTTTTTAAGTGGCAAGTGTATCTGCCATGCTTCTAAAAAGTATGCAGCTAGATCATGCCTGTAGACTTTGGTAAGAATTTAATTTGCATCACTCCAGGAATAACTCCTGACTAAGCCATGTTACTCCAAAAGGGAGCAGAGTGGATCACAGTAATCTGCTGTGCTGTTTGAAATGCTATGAAGGCTGAAACTATCTTGTATTTGTGTAATTCTGCGTGGAGAAAGAAGGGAGGACATTGTGCTCTGCAGCCAAAGCTGTGCAGTGGCTTCTATTTAACTGATATGACAAAGATGTATAATCATTCTTCAGCTTTGCATTGATAGATCTCAGCTGTTTGCTGAAGTTCCTGAATTGCTTGAATTTTTCAATTAAGCTTTTGACTAGGAGTGAGAGGAAGGTTCAAAATTAGTTAAATACTTTAAATCCTGTACAGTTATAACTCTTCTGACCACAAATATGATGCTGAGGTGTAAAATTTGAGTGACTGCTTGGTGTGGTGGCTGGAAGCTATGAAGTACTTTGTGTCAATGCTATTTAAGATGTGGTTTTGAGCACTAAAGTTTAGCTGTATGTTCATGTGGGAAATGTGAGAAGTATAGTTGTACTTCGAACTAAAAAATTTCCTGGTATAGAAATTAAACATCAGTTTTTCTTGTTCTTTTTAGCCATTGAACTAATAAAGCTATTTTTTAGACTTGGCCTTTAGAACCAGGTGTTCTCTAGAAATACGAGTTATGGCATCAGCTGAGGTTTACTCTGCTAAAACTTACTTGCATTGGTCCACGAGGATTATCCTATGGTCAAAATGTTTTCAGCACAATGTATAGAGGGATACAAAAATCTAAAATTCTGTGTTTATCTTCAAATTGTAAGGTTTGATTAGATTGTCAGGAGGCTTAGAAGGCATGTATGTGTCCCTAATTTTTTTAGCAATTGATGAAAGGATGCTGTCTTCAATATTTACATTAGGTGTGAGGTAGAAGGGTAACCGTGTAAAGTTGGGGGAATATGGTTTCTTATATATGTAGCAGTTTCTACTGAGTATTGAGACAGCAGGTTTTTCGTTTGCAAGCTGTTGGATCCTCCTTCTTGTGCTGACAGCAGCCTCAGAATTTCAAACCCCTGGGTGAAGCAGTAATTTATCTTACCAGTAGATTGAGCCCTTACTGCTGCAAAAGCTTGGCTAAGAATCTTTGATTAAATACAATTTTACCAAGTAACTTGATCTTAAAGTTCAAAAAGCAACTTTTGCAATAATAGGATTCAGAACAGTCCTGCCTAATAACTTTTTCTGTGTTCAGATTTTGTTAAGTGTAAGGAAAGCAACAATGTATGTAGGAAATACATACATATATTTTGGTAGCAGTGCACCCGTTTGATCAATTCTTGTAGAGTGGGGTTGCAAGCATTAGCCTAGAAATTTGCTCTTACTCCTTGTTCGAAGGATAAAACCTAATCTGACCTTTGAGGAGCACTTAATGTATTACAGAGAGCTCCACGTTACAAACATTTGAAGTTAAAGGACAGAGGGTGTGTGTTAAGAAGGGGGAGAAGCTGAAGAACTCCTTATTACTGTTTTTTGTAACTAATTAAACATAGATAATAATTATTGCCTTTTTTGATTTTCCCTAAGCACCACTCAAAGGAATACCAAAACAAGCTCCATTCAGGAGTACTTCAGCACCTAGTTCATTTAGTCCTTCTGGGAACAGAACTCCTATTCCTCCTTCAAGAACACCTTTACGCAAAGAAAGAGGAGTGAAGGTAACTATGCTCTCTTGTAGTATCTTCCTTTCCTGCTCAGTTCTCCTTCCTGATCTAAAGTGAATTTCTGATGCTGTTTTGAATCGAGTATCAACATACTAAATTTGTGGTTGATAGCCAAATATTGCCCTTAATAACCATTATTAAAGAAAAAATTAAGTTCTTTCTTTTTAGCTTCTAGATTTCTCTGAGCTGGATATGGTAGGAGCTGGCCGTGAAGCAAAGAGAAGAAGAAAGACATTAGGTTGGTATAGCATGCTACTTACGAAGAGTGTTAATATACCTGTAAATAGGATCTAGATTTGTGGTACCATTTTTGTTCTTTGTTTGTTAAAGCTTATCTTCAACTAAACTTTTAAAAAGGAGATTAAAAAAAGAAATAAAAACCCAAACTGAAAATGCTTAAAGGGAGAACTTTCACTTTTTTTCCCAATGCTTCTAGTCACTTTGCCATGTGCCCAGGTAATAACTTGACTCATTGCATGGAGGGATTGAACCAGCCAGTTGTGCTCTGGGCAGCACACAAGTGTATGAGTGGCTTCAGTACTGAAATTGTTCTGAGATATTTTGGTACGCTTATTTCTGCTGGGTGCATGGCCGTGAAATTGATTGAAAGTAATATTGAAAAAATGTACAATGCTCGCCAAAATTCTGGCTGAGAGATCTTAACAAGTGAATAATATCTGATATATTGCTCTTAACTCAAGCGGCAGTGCAGTGCTCTACTTAACTCTATTGTGTATGAAGGTTACCTTATCGACCAACCTTTTAGCATATACCTCTTTAAGCATGTTTTAGCATTCTTTGGGAAACACATTTTTCTACCTTTGTTTAAACAAAAGTGTATCTAATTCAGTATTTCAGAAAATTTCTTTGAACTGACTTCTGGTTTCATGTAATAGATACAGAAGTTGTGGAAAAACAAGCCAAAGAAGAAACAGTAGTAGAAAATGCTACCCCAGATTATGCTGCTGGCCTTGTGTCTACACAGGTAAAACCAAACAAAATCAGAACAAAAAAATATGAGGAAACCATGATCCATGTTATTCTAAAACACGTAAACACTGTAATGATATTTAACTAACCTATTGAAACATGCCTCTTAATGTAAACATACTCACATTATTATTTCAAAATTCCATTATATTTTCACCAAACTAGATAAAAAATTCAAAGCAGGATGAAGGTAAAGTTTCTGTTTGTTTTCTTGCTGCTATTTTAGGTTTGTGATGGGTACAGCATTTCTGTAACTGATGACTGTAGTCTTCTGTCTGAGATGAAAGGTGTAGGAAGGTGCTCTGGCCCTAGAGATGTAGAAACGTTTTCAGGACTTCCTGCAGGTTTCACTCTGTGCCTGTGCATCCTGTGGAATAGTGTCCACAGGAGTCCTGGTGAGACGGGACAGCGGAATATAAACAGCCAAGTAAGAAAGAAAACTTTACAACTCTTCTGTCTTCTGGCTTGAGAAGACAACCTACATGCTGGTACCATTGTGTACTGCTTTTCTCAGTTTTTAGCTTGTAATCTTGGAGAATTTATGCTTAATCCAGAAAGCAGCTTTTTCTGAAGTTTCCAAACTTGTCTGTAATGAGGCTTAGCCAGTCCCATTACTACTGAAAGAGGATGAGAAATACAGTGGAATTGATCTCTGTCCAAATTACCCATGGCTTATAAATTTGTTCTTCTTAAAACCCATAAAGTTCAGAAGTCACCAGTCTTTTTCCTAACAGATTTTTTTTTTTTTTTGTTAAATCCAAAAGTTGTTTAGGATCTACTGAAAAAGCTAACCTGTTGCTGGAGGTAGTTCAGTTGAGGTGGTTTGGTTTTTTCCTATCCTTTCACATACGGTGCATTGAAAAAACACTGTGATGCGGCTTTGATTTCTCAGTCAGGACACAGCTTTTACAAGAATGTTAGGTCCTCCTCCAGTCCTGAGTTAGAAACTGTCTGTTCTATTCTAGCAAGCCTTGGCCTGGAATTAATTTGGACAGCTGGGTTCTTCAGATACTAACAGATAATTTGAGGCTGCTGCACCCAGTGTTTGCAAGCCTCTTGGGATGATAGAAATCCATCTTAAATCTTAAATTTGGAACAAGAGATGACACTTAAAGTGGTTGTGATAACCTCTGCCTCTTAAAGCCCATGTGTTGACATGCAATGCTTGCCTTTAGAGAGCGCTCTATTTAAAAGACCTGTGGATTGGTTGGTGAGCCAGGCATTTTTTATCTCTAGAGCTTAATGGCAATCACATGCAACATTGCTAATCCCATAACCCATGGGACCAATCCGTTGAACACATGCTGAAAATAACATGTCTGCAGATATTGGTAGGCCTGTGTCAGGAGTGAAGCTCATAGCATACTGCAGAAAAACAGTCCAGAAGTATCATCCTTTTTTTTCCTTTTTGCTTTTACAAGCTCCACATTTTACAGAATATCCTTCTTACTTTTGTCTAGTAAGGCTACCTTAAATGATTTGTCCTATAGGCTTGTTCCCCCAAAATTTCTTTCCTCTGTCAATCCTCTGGATTGGACTAAAGTGGAGATCTTCATAGAGACACCACACTGTTGTCTTTATGCTGAGTGTGCAATATTATCTATAGTTAAGTATAAGATGTGGCATTTTCTTTGGCTTGTTCCTAGATGGCATCCATCATGTTGGTGTTGACCACCTGTTTCAGTGGAAATAGGGTTTTATTTGTCCTTTTATTTGTCTTCTGCTTGCTTATGTCCCAGAGGCCTCTGCGTTCTGGGTTGATATCTCAGTAGGCCTTTTGCCCATGGGTGAGCACAGGTTTCTGCTTGCTAATAGTGAATACCATGATTGCTCAGACAGAAGATCACTCATTTCTGTAGTGTAACTCTTCAGAGTGTACCATCTGCCCAAACTTCATAATTCCTACCAGCTGAGGAATGGGACAAAGGAACAGGAGCTTGATTCTCTTTGCAGAAGTACGTTCTCTGTAGCAGTACTTTTTCCTGGCTCATATTGTGCATTCAGAAGGAACATCAATCTGAATTAGGGGAAATAAAAGCTGCTTTTTTTTCTCATAGGGTATTTCTAATGTCTGAAGCTTATGTAGGGAGTTAAGGTCGAGAGGGCAAACTTGCCCTAACAGAGGAGTCCATAATTAAGTTCTCAAAAGGAATATCGTAGCAGAACTAATGTTGAAATGGTATTTAAAATGCAGAAACAGCACATGAATTTATGCGGTATGTTTATAACTCTGTTTCCATTTTACAGAAACTTGGCTCATTGAACAATGAGCCTGCACTACCTTCTACAAGTTACTTACCTGCAACCCCCAGTGTGGTGCCATCTTCCTCGTATATCCCAAGCTCTGAAACACAGCCAGGTGAAAGATGCTTTTTTTGGTTTTGGGACCTAATAGCTCCAACTCTATACAGTTTTACTGTCTAGTTTTTATTTACAAACCTACTGTCACTCAACTGTAGTGAAACTTAACCTTTGCAGTCTAAATATCTATTGCAGGAACCCAACCTTTGGGCTTTGGGTAACCAGACATGTCATTTAACCTAAAGAAAGAAAATGCTTGTTTTTAAGTTTTAAAATTACTGTTAAGTCAAGTCAAGTAAGCATAGCAGTTTGCTGTTTGGTGTTTTCCTTACTCTAATAGAAAATCTAGCGTTTTTTTAATCCCTAAAGAGAGACCAGTAATACACAAGTCTAGAGTATATACTTCATATATACGTCCATATGCATGCACTTACAAAACTTGCTTTCTAGAGCCAAGTACATATTAGCTTTCACACAGGCTGGGATCTAGCCATCCATTTTCCTTTTACCTTTTTATGACAGTCTGATAGATCATAGCTGAGCTCCTTTGTTTTGAAAAGTGATGTGTTGTCAATTCTTGAGAATTATCTACAGTAAAAAACAGCATTTATGCAAATCCTTTATTTCTACTCCTTTTATTTTAACACACTTGGTTTTACTTTTCCTTCTCTGCTGCAAGTGAAGTCCTAAAGGAATGTATCAGTTTGCACTAACAGATGTGTATGACTGGAATGCATTACCAGGCCTTGCAGTTAACAGAGCACCAATGTTTAAGTCATTATTTTTATTCTTGCTTGTGATTTGGTACTGCAGTGTTTGTCTTTATGTATATGAGCTGTGGCATGTTGGTCATTATAGAAAAATGCATATGCAAAACGTGATCACTTGGCCCCGAAACAGTTCAGAATCTCTTGGAAGGTCCATGCAAATCTTTCTCTAGCAGAAAATCTTGACATCTCCAGAAGGAACGCAGCCGAGAGTGCATATGCAAAACGTGATCACTTGGCCCCGAAACAGTTCAGAATCTCTTGGAAGGTCCATGCAAATCTTTCTCTGGCAGAAAATTGACATCTCCAGAAGGAACGCAGCCAAGAGTGCATCAGTGTTGTCAGCAGCTAGTATTATTTTCCAGAGCCTTGGCACTGTATTCAGCAGCAGGAAAAGCAGAGTTTAAAATTCTCTGTTGTCTTTGTTCTCTATTTTTTCATACTGATTTCTTCCTTCTGGAGTATGGGATATCTAGCTTTTCTTATGGTCAGGGAATATAAAACTGGTTCCTTGATAAAAGATGCACACAGAAGATCCACAGATTTGCTCTTGTATAATCTGATATGTTGCTTTATGCAAGTGAGTCATTCTGACATGAGAGGAAGCTGGTAATAAAACTGAAGAGATTTGTAAGGGATTACTAATTGCTGCAAAGCTTTGTCCTCTCAAGTGTTTACTGTCCTGTTCCATGTCTTACTGGATAATAGCCATATTGTTAAAACCAGTCCTGTGTCTGTGGCTAGATGGAGAGTGGTAGACCTCTCGTTCTCTAAAACCTGATCTGAAAGGCATCAGCATAGCTCTGTTGTGAATCTGCCTTTTAGTCTACTTTTAACGTGGTGTGAATATGTTGGCTTTAGCCTCATGAGATGCTTGAATGGTGCTTAAGTAGCTGTGCCCATGTCTAAGAGCTGCAAAAGAATGTAACTGGCTGGAGTGTGTACTGGGTAGTTACTGTTTGCTGGACAGATGTTAACTTATGAAATAACAGTAACGTGATCGTGTATATGTAACCTCTACCTGCAGCCAGGTTTGGAATAGTAACTCCCTGAAGTGCAGATGAATTGATCAGCTTCAGAAAATAAGTGTTAGGACTTGCCAGTACTGTGAGGTTTTAACCTTTGTAGTAGTTAGTATTTAAATAATGAGTGATTTGTGAAGACTACGTTTAATTCTGTCATTTAAGTATTTGTGTATTTTCAGTATTTATTACTGGCTGAGACTTAATTATCGCTTCCTTTGGAAGCTGCTGCTATATTAGGTAAAAAACTGATGAAATATTCTTAGGATTTTTGCTTCTATGTAACAGTATAGCAGTAATCCTGGTAGTGTCACAGTACAGTTGTTTATAGCAATAAGCTAAAAATAAGTGAAGTGGTTTCAATGTAATAAGTCTGATATCCATTAAACATAAAATTTCATGCTAAATATAATGTAATCCATATTGGACAGCTAGTAACTCAGTTGTCTATTGCTGAAGATAATTGAGTGGAAAGAGCATTAGCTCTTCAATTTTTCATATAGGTATTAGATAACATATTGAATCATGGTGCTAAAATGAAGTAATCAGGGTGTTTGCTTTTCTTTAAAGGCCATTGGTGATGCTAATCCCTGTTTGTGGATTATAATGTATTTAATTATCCTGGTTGGTTTTTGCAGCTGGCTCTGCACGAGAGGCCTTGCAGACTAACAGACAGACTGAAGAGCCTGCAGCTCCCAATGCTACTACAACTCTCCCTGCACAGTTCAAACAAAGAACCCCCATGTACAATAGTAACTCTAATCCACCTGCGGCTACACCTACCTCACCCCTCACGCCTACCACACCTCCTGCCATTTCCCCTGCGGCACAGGCACCACAAGTGGCTCCTCAAACTCAGCAACAGCCACCACCGAAAAAAAGCCTCTCTCTCACAGTAAGTAAAACCAGGTTCTTTTTGACTGCTGCTTTTGATGTAGATTGGGAAATGCAAATTTTTATTATTGATTTCATTTAGTATGTTGGCAGTTCTTGGCCTTGGATCATGGAGTGATTGAGGCTGCTTTTTTTATAACCAAAGATAATGAAAATGTTTTGTGGCTTTGTTAGCATTGCTGTCTTGATACTAATGATTTTAATTGTGCAGTGTTAATGTCACAGTAAGTTGTCTTTATTTACTGCTGTTTGTTATCGAAAATAATGTTGGTCTACTCATTACGAAGAATTTTGGGATAAAGGTGTATTTTCAGCAGAGCAGTTGCCCAGCCAATTGCACATAGTATAAGCTGCTAAAAAGGATCCTCTCACTGCTGTGGTAGGAGAAAAGATACCAGTAGATTATCCTAATGCAAAAGACTTCCCCCATTACACATCTTTTAAAGCCTGTGAGTGAGGAGGAAACTAAAAGGCAATTATGCATGTCCTGGAGCTTCTTATTGCTGGTATGTTGGTATATATTATGCACATACTTGAAGTTGTTAAGCAGGTGACTAATTCAACATACAGCTGATTTGAAGACTTTGCTAAGCACGTCTGTAAGCCTGGCTTGCAAGATCTGAATTTTAAAAAGCTGGGTGACTTTTTCTTTTCAGTACCTCTACTTCATTTATTAAAGAAAAAGAAAATTCCCTGAAATTATTACAAGCCTGGGTTTATTGGACTGTAGAGGAGGCATTAGGTTTTTTCTTCTCTTCCTAATGTCATAAAGAACACAAAATTGATAATGTAAACACTAAGTCTCTTGGCACATGTTTCTGTAACTACTGGGAGGTGAGGAGGTTTTTTTTTGCAGTTTCAGAGTTTCGTTGTCACTGCTGTAAGTGTTATGTGTAAGCATTTAAGATGAAAAGCCCTGAGATTAAGACACTTTTTTGGTTACTTTTTGTAGGTCTGCCAACTCCTACCATACTCTTTTATGCTTGTCTGTGGATATTTATATGGTACCTGTTGACAGTATTTTCTCCACTGAAATTCATACTTGTTTTATCTGTTGCAGAGGGAGCAAATGTATGCTGCACAGGAAATGTTCAAGACCGCAAACAAAGTTACAAGGCCAGAGAAGGCTCTTATACTTGGATTCATGGCAGGATCTAGAGGCATGTATTGAGACTAATTTACCTTTTGAATATCCAAATCTGAAATACAGCCTAGCATTTCTAAATATGCCTATGAGAGTGCAAGGCTCTTTGCTGTATATATACTGGACTCTGCTTTACTCTGGACTGTATGTAGTTTTGTGGATTATAGTTCTGACTTTTAGTTCTAACTACCTAGAAATGGGTCTTCAGGATCTACTTCCAGTAAGTTTAGTCTGTCAGAACACCTGCTAAACACAACATCATAACTGAACACATGCAATAAATATCATGGCTTAGGGGTTGAAGAGAAACAAGCCAGCCAGTTAGAATGGTGAGCAGGCTGGTTAGGTCCTAGTAGTTTGTCTAGAAGACCAATGAACCTAAGTTCTTTTGTGGCAAGTTGAGGTGCAGGTTGGGTAGTACAGAGCCTCTTTGCTAATTCCTTAGCATTAGAAATGTAGCAACTGTTGTCTCAGACTTTAGGTAACCACAGGTGCTGTGAATCAGAGGGGGATAAGCTGTCATATATTGGCCTTGATAGTCTAGGGCTGTTTCACCCACAAGACTATCAGATGTAAGGTGAGAAGGAGATTAAGAGTCCTTAAGTGAACTCTGTCATCTGCACTAGCTCTGGTTTCTAATTTGGTATTTGAGGGCTCTTATCACTGGAGTGCTGGAGCCTAAATGTGGCTCGTGCACTTGTATTAATGCAATACATCATTAAAGATGACCAGAGTACACTTACTATGATGATCCTAGGGTTTAAGAAAGTTCTGTGTATCTTGCATTAATGATGGTGCTGTTAGTACTAGATGCCACTTCATAGTGCAGTAGGAGGGTGTACTTTAATACAAGAACAGTTGTTTGTAGGGCAAGGTCAAGTATTAGTTTGGAAGTGTGTGTGTTATATAGACATGCATATATAGGTAAATATATAATGATACGAATTTCAGTAATAATGCCGGCACCTCCAGAAGGCTGGGTAAGTAACTGCCAGCTATGATATTCTTGAGTGCCACTTCCATTACCTTGAAATGTAACATTTAATACTTCAGCTGCCGTGGTGAGTCTTGGATGAGTGATTTCAGTGAAGCTGTTTGGGCTTCCAGAACAGCTGCAAATTGAGTTTTTTAACTAGAAAATATATCCCAAATAAAGTAACTCTGGTAGTTCAAGTTTACCAACTCCCATTTAAATATTTGCTTCTCTTATGGCTTTCAAGGCAGACAGAAATGACACTAGCATGCTTTATTCCCCCTTTTGTTATTCTTCCAGTTACTTTAGCCTGGGAGTTCATCTTTTGGGGTCTGGTTTTGTTATCCTTAAAACTCAGTCTGCGATGTATGTAGGGAGTAAGATCTTTGTATGTATTAGGGCTGTTACTTGCTCAGTTTGGGGTTTGTTTATTAGGTTTGTGGGTTTTTTTTAGCATAAGAATCTCCATCAAGTGCTCTTTACTTTTTCTAATACAATGTTGAAATTAACAGAATTTGTTCCTGTTTCTGTTTTCACAGAAAACCCTTGCCAAGAGCAAGGTGACATCATCCAAATTAAACTTAGTGAGCATACAGAAGATTTACCAAAGGCAGATGGCACTGGCAGCACCACTATGTTGGTTGATACAGTCTTTGAAATGAACTATGCTACTGGTGAATGGACCAGATTCAAGAAGTACAAACCTATAACTAATGTTTCCTAAGAGATGAAGCAACAGCAGACTGGACCAAATGAAGCTTAGAGTCAACCAGCTCATAAAGTATGTCAACTGTACAGAATGGCATTCATGTGTACATTTATTACCCTCCAGAATAGAAGTTGTGGCTCTTCAACCTAACTGGGCTCAGTGAACACAGAAGATGATGGTGTCAAACTCACTTTTTTTTTTTTTAAATCTTGGGAGAGGGAAAGGTGATCTTGGGGGGGAAACTTGTTGGTGTGTTTTTATTTTCCTACAGTTCTAGATGCTGAAATAGAAGATCACGAATGCAAGATTACAGATGAAAGTAGCTTACTTCTGAGTACTGAAGAAAAGACTGCTGCACAGTCATTCACGGTTTACCATTAAACGAGGGCACAGATCATTATTGTAAAAATATTTTCTTTGGCAACATGGGTTCTATTGTAAGAATGGACATTTAAGGCGTCATAGTTCGGTGCTTGATTATTTTGTAACTCAGCTGCAGTATAACTAAATATTGCAGGTGGTAGATTTCCGGTGTCTAATGATACCCACTGTATGTTTAGCTTATTTATGCTTGAGTCATAGGACGAGATTGAGCAGCTTCCCTAACTCGCTATATTGTCAGTGTCCGTGCCCAGCATGAGTTAATCTATATTTGGCATTATTTGAGATGGAGAGAAACTGAGTATGGTAAATTTCTGAAGAAAACAAAACAGAATTATGCAGAAAGTAATGGTGGCTCATCACTGCCTGGAAGCAATAGCTGTTTGCTGTGTAAAGTCTACCAAGGCTCTTGCATAGCAAGCCCTTTGAGCAGCATAACTTGGGAGGAAGTGAAACTGTTACATCTTGAGACCAGTTGCAGCTTAATTAAAAAATGGCCCTAGAAATGAGATATACACATGTCTGAGTATAGATGGTTGGGAAGATTTGTTGCCTTGAGGCGATGTTATGACTGCTCAACCAAACATAATGAACGTGTTTGATTGCCAAGCCCTGATCCAAAGTTGTGAATGACTGTAGCTGTGGTTCTTACCAGTGTAGTTATATCGGTATAATCACTAATGTGGCCACAGTTATACTGGCATAGAAATGTACCTTATACTTCTTTTCTAGTAGGAGCACATTTTTATCTTTGACTGTGTTCACACCACTGGTATAATCTGGCTTTAATAGGACAGATAACCTTGCATTTATTGAGGGCTTATGTACGTAGTTCACCTTTGGTTTCATGAACTGAAGGAGACTTGAATTAAGTGTATAGTTTCTGCCAGTACTTCTGTGTGGAGCTGTGCTTGATTGAGAATGGTGCTTAGAAGGAAGAAATACAAAGATGTGCAGCACAGTGGTTGATTGGTGCTTAGGAGGTACCTTGGGTTGACCAGATGTTCATGTTGAAGTGGAACTCTTAAGATAAAATCAGGCTTTTTTCTTTTCTTCAGAAAAGAAAGCAGACCAAATCCCCTCAGTACACATATATTAACAAAGATGTTTAGATGATTGATTAGAGTCTTTTTGTATTGGGGAATTTTTATTGTGTTTTATTTTTAGTTTTTTCAAACAGGACAGAGCAAGTATAAATAATAATGAAATCTTGTATTCTGCAGTGTTTTAAGATGTGACCAAAAGTATAGATTTCTTAACTTTATTTAAGCAAATATACAGAATGTTCTAGCTCCTGTAGTGGGCAAGTTACTTGATGGTACCTGCTACCATTACGGAGTGTTGTGCATGTATTAGTGTGAAAGTTGCTCACATATATAATGGTCACACTGGGGGCTCTCCTCCATGTAATTACCCCATTTCAGCAGCAATGAAGATTGTGATTCTGATTGTGATTTTTTTTTTTTCTTTTAACAGCTAGAAACCAGCCTGACAAGTGAGGATGACTAGTGGGTTTTAGTTTGTAGGAGTTCAGTAGAATGCATTTTCATGGTTACAGTATGTTACACAGTAAGGGCTAGCAATAGAATATGAAAGTATTCATCTTTTTAAAAGAAGGGTTTAAAGAAAAGTGACATTCCTTTTCTTGTCTGCATTCAGATTTTTGAAGTTTTCTTGTGATGACCAGTTTTCTGTAAACATGTATGATACTTCTGTCTTAACTGTTCCTGCTTGCTAGATAAGCTGCAAGTACCAAATACAAATTTTTTTGAGAAAACTTTTAGGAAATTGGTTGAATTGAGGGCCATGTACTGTCATTGTAAAATGCTGATGCAAGACTCTGTGATTCAGTAGTGATCAGGAGCTGCTGCTGTGTGATGGTCTTTTGGCTTACTTCAGATTAATGGGGGTCCCTTGCTAAACTCTCTTAGTCTGCAGAAGTCTACGTGTCAGACCTGTGCTGCTGGGATGGAGACAGTTGTCCTCCTCTTCAAGAAGCCCTTCTAATTGCAGTGCATTCGAGTGTAGTAGTGCATAGGAAGCTTAACCATGCTGCTACCTATTTGTATTTGCTGCGTAACAAAGTTGGTTTCCAAGCCTGTTCGTTTAAAGTCAGTCATACGTAATGAATTGAAATTTAAAATGGAAGCATAGTATATTTTTAATTCCGTTAATTCATTAGGATGAGACAATTTAACACTGCAAAAATAATTTATTTTAAAAAGTGACTTTGTGACCCTCAACACAAGAGCATTACTTCAGCTTGATCTGTGAATCTAGAAAGTTTGGCGTTTTTTACATGCCTAAAGAAAGGGAAGTTTTTGCAATGTTGTTAGAATGATACAGTGAGAAGTAAAATCACATGGAGCTCTTCAGTTCAGAGAATGAAATCATCGAAAGAGTGACCTGAAAGGGGTAACGCCAGACAATTCAGAAAGTGCAACATCAACGTTTAAATTCTGGTATCGTGGAGTTGTTGCATACAGAAGATTATCTGGCCCTGGACCTTAACATTTTTTATTTTTTTTTCTTGTCTTGAGTATTCAGTCACTTGGCTGTTAGCTGGATTCTCATCAGTGATGCTCAGTGTGTGCTGTAAGACCAAACAAAAACACTTGCTGACTCTAGAAGGACTTGAAGATGTACTGACAAATTGACCAGGGAAGTAGTTCAGAGTTTTCTTAAAGCTTTCTGTGTGTCCTTTCCTCTTCCCCTTTATCCAAGCATCAAGTTTTAGGAAATAGCAAGCCCAGACTTCAGAAATGTGTTACTACACCTCAGCAAAGCAGGATGTCCCAGCTTCTCTTGCCCTTGCTTGTAAAGAAGCAGCTGTCAGTGCAAGCCTGGGCACGATAGGGATTAGCTTGTTTGATTTGGAGTGTGGAATACAGGAGGTGGAAGCAAGGCACATGGCTTGTTTTCCTTGTCCTGTCCAAACTTCCTAGGTGAGTAAGAACACACACATGCATACCCATGCTTCCTTAATTTGCTCTGCAGCGAAGTGCTGGCTTTCTTTAGGCTCCATTTTCTTTGACAAGTTTCATGAGGACCAGCAAGAGTGAAATGAGTGTAATGAAGGGGAGCCCAAGGAGGATGCGAAGCAAGAGTTGTGATGGTAGAACATTTTTTCCTGCTCTAGTGCTCTGTAGTTCTCTCCATACAAAACAGTCTAGGCTTAGTCTGGTTAACACTGTAGTATTGGGCCAGTATTTTGTGGGTTGTTTTTCTCTGGTAGCTTTGCCATTTAATCTCAGTTAAATATCATAGGATGCTGAATGCAATGGGGAGGAGCCTTTGGGAGTTGCTTGATGTCTCCATGTGAAATCAGTCACTTCTTTCACTAAGTTGTCAAAGGTGCAGACCGCTTGTCTAGATGAAAGAAGCTTGAGACTTTGACGTTATTATACAGTTTGAGTGAATCACACTTGCATAGTAAGATCTGACTGGAAAAAAAGACTAAAAAATGTTAAGCCAGAGCCCTCTGGGAATCTGGTGCCTTTAACAAGAACTGTCATTTTGTAAAATGTTACATCTATAGCATAGCCCATATGTTTTCTATTGTTTCTTTGTTGGTTTTTTTTTGTACAGTTGTAAATTCAAAATATTCTGTCTTTGGGTACGTATTTTCCGTGTAATACAGTATGTATAATAAAAATTTAGATTTTTTTAAGGAAGTGGACTGATACTTTTTTAATAATAAGTTGCATATTGTACAAACACTTGAATTGGTGGTGAGTGCCACTAGCACGAGACCAAGCAGCCAAATTGTGTGCTAGTGTGTATCCATTTTAGATTTTCTGTCACATTGCTTCTGTAGATGTGTTTCAAAGCTGACATTTCTAAGCTGACATATGCTAATTTTGCTGGTTAGGATATTTGTGAGTAGGAGGTGTTACCTAAACACCTGCTCCTGCTTTCTGGGTGGATTTGTTGAAAGCAGATTAACCTTGGGTGATGTCTCCACAATGCGTGGGTGTGCGTACGCTGCAGCGCTTGAGCCACGGCCTGCACCTGATGGCAGGAGGAAGGGATTGCCATTCACAGCTTCTGTGGATGGACCACTCTGTACACGAGTGTGTGATTAAAAAACAGGGTTTAAACACCTTCTTCAGCTGAATTACAACAACGGCTTATCTTGATTTTAGAGTGCTGCAGAAGGTGGGTGTGTTTGGTGATTTTTGCTTTGGTGTTAGGGGTTTTTTTTGGGTTTTGTTTGTTTTGTTTGAGGGGTAGGTTTTGTGGTTTTTTTTTCAGAAACTTTCATGCTCAGAGAAACAGTTTCTGTGGCCTAGTTTATTGTGTGATAAACGTGAAGGCTTCTCTTAGTGCTGAGTTACATGGACGTGTGTGGCTGTCCTCACCCCAGTTTTCTAATGGACAGCCATGTGACGTGGCTCTGCTCAGTTGCCTGTGCTGATGCCATGCCAGACATAGTCTGAGGTTTTTCTGTCCTGTGTCGGATCGACCTTATCAAGTCGCTGGGAAGGGAACTCTGTTCCAGGTCAAGTGCTCAGTTAAAATGCTTGGGACAAAGCTTTCAGAATAGCCTGAGATGCACATTTTGTTTGTTATTTCATAGGGTATTTGCTCTGTCAGAGATTTCCTGGTGTCCAAATGAGTGACTCTTCGATACTCTTTATAGGAACAGGTGTTTGCCTGTCTTTGAGAATGGCCTATGCAGAATCAGACCCATCTATTTTTAGTGGTCTCTGAGTCACTAGGCATTTTGGACAGGCATAGCTGGTACAAGCGCACAGGAGTTTTTCAAATGTTTAGGATGCTGCTCTAATCCTAACT